ACTTTTCTCTGTAGAGCCTGCCCTCCCTCAGTCCCAGAGCAGATTGCAGGGATGGGCATGTGACCTCAACCCAACCAATGAGAGCCATCCTTGGGAATTTTGCCCAAAGTGTTAGAAAAGTTTGCTGAGTTGGTAAAAACTGGATGAGAACTGTTGTGGCCTCTGTGACCCTACAAAGGGACTGATGGGTGCCTGAAATAAAGCCAATCAGAAAAAAGAGTCAGGAGGCAGACAGATGCCCAAAAGTGTTGTTTGGGTTCCCGGATCCTGGGGTGCTTAAAGCTGAATCCATCTACTAGACTTTTTGCTCATCTGAGCCAGTACATTCTTCTTTTCTTTCTTTATTCCCCTCTGCCTATTTCTCCCCCCCCCCCCCATTCCTTCTTTTTGTTTGTTTACTTTTGAGTTGAATTCCTGTTAGCTGTAACCAGAAGGCTCCTGACAATTACACTTCCTTGTCACAGTTTTCTCAACTGTAAAATGAGATACTCACAGTGCTGCTCGCCTTCTATATAAGATGGTTGCAAGACTTACAGGAGTCAATGCACATAAAGCACTTGTCACGTAGTGAGGGTCGCTGTTATTTTTAACGAGTTAGGAAAAACTGAATTCAGAAAATCTCATTTCTTCACACACACACACACACACCTTAAAAAAAAAGAGGGGGAAGGGGAAAGAACTGCTACACACATAAAAATACAGAGAATAAATTCTTATAACACCAGTTAGTAGAAAAGAGAAAGCATTGTGTCAGCAGCTTCTGCCGGGGAGTTGCTATTTCTTAATTTCTGGTCTGGCAGGGGCAGCTAGTGGCAGGCCCTGACCCCATCTCCTTGGCAAGGAAGTCACTGACCCTGCCTTTCTCACACGTGCTCCCTCCCTCCCTCAGGGTTCCCTCTTCAATGCCAGGTGATGCTGGGCCATGGAAGAACATCTTGTTGGCAGTTTTAAAGGGGCAGGAATTGCAAGAGAGGTGGAGAAAGGGGAGGTGACGTGGTTGGCAGGACCGAAGTGGGTGATTTTGCAATGCAGTTTGGGGAAAGGGAAAATAAAGTAGGAGAGAGTTAGCCAGGCCTTATAACCTCGCCACTGCATTGGTTTTAGGAGGAAAGGACCCAGTGCCTGCATTCAGAGAATGCTCAGTTAAGACTTTTTGGGGGAGGTGGTGGAGGGCGGGGAGGGTGGGGGTAGAATTCGGATAAAGCCAGGCCAATGTTTTTCTGAGGTTAAGAAAACATTGGTACAGGGAGGAGCAACATTCACACACAAGCCCACTCTGCTGGGTTAAACAGAACAGGGCGTTATGTAACACACAGGTCTCCGAGGGGAGGGCCAGGGAGTTGGTCTTGGAGACTTTAATGTCGTCACCCCGGGGCCCAGACAGTGTGTTCAACTCGTGCCATTGGCGTGGGCCACTGGATGCCAGAAACCCACAGCTGTGCCCTGAACCCTTACCCCCAATGGATTCCTCGTGCCCTCTGCTGGAGGCCAAGTCTGCCTCGGGTGTCTGATTGGCTGAGCCTAGGGTATAAGCATTGTTGCAAATGGGCTGGGGAAGCCAGTGTCAAGCCTTTGACCTTGGGGAGAACTTAATGCCATCATGCTGGAAGTTCTGCAGTCACAGAACGGGGTGCAGAAGGACGGCCATCAAGAGTGCATACCTCCCCTAGTACAGGTCTATATTGTGTACATGTGTGTGAACAGGCATACGATCCATGTCTCAAGGTCCCATTTCCAGGGTGCTTTCATGCTTAGAAAGCCAAACATCCATCATGCAAGCCCCACCAGCACAGTCTCTTCATTTGGGTGTCACTCTGCCACTCTGAGGTCGGGGTGCAGCTGCAAGTACCATTTGGCCACACCTGCTTCCCTGTGACTCTGCTCCTTCAGGCTGTCCTTGCCTGCCCTCCCCTCCCCCCACCCCCCTGACATAGACCAGGTCTCCTTCTTCCCGTCCCTCTGACATGAGAAGGGACACGCTCCTCAGACGTACCAGGCCCACAGGAAGACCCTGCCATTGACTCTGACTTGCCACATCATCCCCTTGAGACTCAACGCTGGCTTTTACCTCTGCAGAAACAAAGGCCTGTTAAGGTGGCTCTAAAGATGAAATTAGCCATCAAGCTTCAGGTGCAGGGACAGACGTAATTTTTTTTAAAGCTTTGGAATTTAGTCTTTTCCAGATGAAACCTCATTTTGGAGGAAAGCGTTGAGAAACTCCTCGAAGGGGGTTTTTCTCTAGAAAAGCCCAGAAAGCAGGTGAAAGGCCATGCCCCAAAGCAGACTCTGCCCCAGACTCCTAGGGACAGTGCCTGTCTGGAGCCCACGGGCCTGGACAAGGGGGAGTGAACCTCTGGGTGGAGAATGGTTCTCTTCTCTTTTCCCACACCCACTCGTCCCCTCCTGGTGATGTCCATGCGCTGCCTGTGTTTTGCATGTGCCCCATCCCAGATCATTGCTGTGTGTCACTCAGTGCTTGTCTGTTGAATGATTCTGCTTGGGTCCCCCAGGAGAGCCAGCTGCTCTCCCACCCATCTCCCATGACATTTTGTCTGAGACCCTATTGATCCATGTATATTTTGTGAGTTTCACTTTAGGACAGGAACAATATCTCATTTGCTATGGATTCCTCAACAATTGGCAGAGAATCAGTACACACACACACACACACACACACACACACACACACACTATATAGTATCAGTATATATAGGAAAAGAAGGAGAAATGGATGGATGGATGGATGGATGGATGGATGGATGGATGGATGGATACCTGAGCTTTACCAGACAATAGTCACTGTAGCCAAATGCCACAAGGGGGCAGTGTAGAGCAGCTTGTTAATTCCTCCCCAGACTCTCCTACCAAACCCTGACTAGGTTTCCTAGACCTTATTTTGTGAAAGGAGGACTTGAGGCCCAAGAAGTTGATGTAGAGGTCAAAGAGGTGGATGGCTGTGCCCAGGGGCACACAGCTCCTGAGCCGGGCTCTTCCACTACGTATGCCCATCAACTCAGCTCCTTAGGCTCTGTGGGGCCTGATGCTGCCAAGCCTCTTTCATGATCACCTGGATTCCTTCTTGGGGGGCTGCCATTGACGGCTGGCTGGTGAGCATGCGCAGCACAAAGGGAACAGACCACTGAGTGCATCCTTCAGAGTCTTCCCAGCCTCTCAACATGGTTCCAGCTTCGGTGACTTGGCCCTCATGAGATACCCCTTTCTCTCCCATGTCTCTTCTCCCTTTTGGAGACCTACCTCACTGTGGCTTATAGTTCCCAGAAAAGGAAGGTCGCCTGCTCAGAACATGTCCTACTGCAACTATGCTTCTCTCAAAATTGACTTCTCTTGTGTACCATTTCCTCTCACCCTGCTACTTCATTTCCTCTATCTTTGGGGGGGGGGGGAGCGGGGAGCAAGCAGGGCATGTTGGGGAAAATACTACAAGGCGATGGCTCTCTCTTCCCCTCCTGGCTGTCCACACATTTTTTCCAACAGATTCCCAAAGGACCATGCCTTGGGTAGCAGAGAGAGATATCTGGTGAACACAAAGTACCTCAAAATTTCCTTTTCTTCATTTATCTATTTAATTACTCAGTGGTTTTTTTTTTGTTTGTTTGTTTTATGTTAAGCATCTGCTAAGTGTCAGAGCTGAAACAATAACACAATCTTGCACTTATTCAGTCCTTGCCATATGGGAGAGGCATTGTTAATTCCATTCTCTACGCCAGAGGCAGAGTTCCAGAGAAATCATGTCACTTGTCCAAGGGGCACAGCACTGAGCCACAGAACCTGGAGGCTGCCACCTGCAGGATAAGGCATTTCCGGGGGATGCTCACTGTTGGGCTTGTGGCTGCTCATACCCAGGTCTCCGCGCCTCGGCAGGGCAGGCGGCCACAGAGGGGTTAAGCCCACAGCCATTCTGCTGGACTAAACAGAACAGGGGCAAAGGGATGCGTTCTGACCACTTCCATGCATTGTAGCTTTGTGGCTTCTGGAGTGGAATTACAGAATGTTCCATCAAGTTTGATTCTGCAGAACTGGGCATCTATACTCTGTGTGGGACCTGTTATCAGCTCAGAGAAGAGCCCCTCCAAGCACACCGGGATGGGGGTCTGCTGGGTTAGGGCCTGACGAGCCTTGTGAGCTGAACTCTCTGCCTTCACCATGCTGGACCCTGAGGATACTTCCTGTTCCGGAGAGCTGTCCCCAGGATGAGGTCAGAGCGTGAACGCCCCAGTGTTTCCGAATGCAGCGGCCTTTACTTACTTACATCCCAGCGGCATTGCCAGGAGCCGGCTGGCCTGCCTTGATTGGCTTCTGGGGGCCTAGAGCAGTTGTTCCTGGCCTTCAGGATTGCACAGGTCAGGATAATTCTTCCTATTATAAATCCCAATAAGTCACTTAGGATTGTCAACTTTTTTTTTTTTTTTTTACGTAGAATTTTTTTTTATTATTATTATTTTTTAATGACGGCCACAAACGTTCTGTCCTAAAAGAAAAAGAAGTTTAACAAAAAATGCAGGACATAATCTTGCAATTAAAAGTGGGTGTATTTAGCCTCATGATAAATTACATGGTTTATTACTTTCCCCAATGTCACTCTAGACCAGGGGAGACCAAAGCAAGGACTGGCCTCTGGGAACCATTGCTGGAGATTGTGTGTGGTATAGAGGTGTGTGGTGTATAGGTGTGTGGTATAAAGGTGTGTGGTTCATAGGTGTGTGGTTCATGGGTGTGTGGTGTATGGGTGCCCTGGGCAGTGGGAGATGGGCTAAACTAGTTCATGGGACAGTCATGTGCACTGGGGGAACTGAAGAAAGGAACAGAAAAGTCACATCCCAGAAAAAAATTTTAATACTCATTACAAAATAGCATGTGAACCATGACCCCTAATTTGTAAAATACCCATATGCCTAAGACAGCCTCAGATACACAGAAACACACACACACACACACACCAAAAATACACAAAAACTCACTGGAAAGCTATACAACAAAAATCTGGTGGAAGAATAATGATTATGTTTATTTTCTCTGAGTTATTTCTTGCATTTTCCAAATCTTCCTGTTTTGTAATCAGAAACACAGAACCAATAAAGTAGGAAAAAACTGATGCAAGAGGAATCATGCAACACACTGGGTAAGACCTCCGCCCGTGGTCTCCCTGGGCCAGGCAGAATGTCAGTGAAGCCACATCTTGGACTGAAGAAGGCTCCCTGGGCCTGTGCTGCCGTCACTTACATCCTGTCTTTGCGTATCCAGGGCTGGGAGTGGTGTCTGGCGTGTGGTGAAAGCTCTATTGCCGTGTGTTGAGTGGACTGCTTCCTGTATTAGGCGGGTCAGTGTGACTCCTGGACAAGAGGAGGCCCAGAGAAAAGCTGCCCCTGAAGTAGACATGGACCCTCCCTATACTGATTTCCATTCTGACTTTAAAAATTTGTGTTCAAAGTCTTCAGATTGCATCTGTCCTTGGAAAAATGGAACTAAGTGATCACTAAGACCCCTTTATGAGTTTAAGCTTCTGTGTTGGAGGCAATCTGGCTGCCACTAAAATAAGACCATTTTTTAAACAACAGGGTTTGGGGAGAATGGGTCTCCCATTGATTAGACATCTTGGCGACAGGCAAAAGGAATTAATTCTGAGCAAGTTAAGCAAGAAAGAAATGTAATGGAAATGCTCCTGGAAATTCCCAGTTTGGACAGGAAGACTACAGCCACTGAGAAAATGGGCGGGACCCAAGAGCAGCCAAGCTGTAGGGACCACGGCTTGAGTCCTGCCTCCCATCCAGACCTCAGTTTTCTTATGATCCTGAATCAACAGGTTCACTGTGGGGATTAAGCACATGGGCCGGGAGCCGGGAAGCCTGGTTTCAGATCTTAATTCCTAGAACCTCAGGTAAAGCCCATATCATCTCTGTGCTCTGTCTCCACATCTGTAAAATAAGGATAATACAGGTACCCACTTGCATTTGTTATCTTTTGCTGTGAAACAAATTACCCCCAAATGTAGTGTTTTAAAACAGCAATAAATATTTATTATCTCTCAGTGCCTGTTGGTCAGGAGCAGCCTAGCTGGGTGTTTCTCAAGAGGTTCAGTCTGTTGGGGACTAGGTCTGCAGTCATCTGAAGGCTCGGTTGGGGCTGGAAGATTGTTTCCAATGTGGCTCACCCATTTGGCCTTGGCAGTTGACAGGAGCCTCAGTTTCTTCCTAAGTGGGTTGTTTGGTGTCCTCACCACAGGATGGTTACCTCTCCTTAGAACAAGTGATACCTGAGAGAGAGAGAGGAGAGAGAGAGAGAGCCAGGCAGAAGCTATGTCCTGTGTGTGGCCTAGCTTGTCACATCGCATCATTTCTGCTACATTCACTCATTAGAGGAAACTAAGACCAGGGAAGAGGCTTAGGCTCCGCATCTTGAAGGGAAGAGTGTCAGAAAGTTCCCTGCTCCATTTCATAGCCACCACACTACTTCACAGGGTTGTTATGAAGATTAAGTGAGTTAACACAAGTGCTTAAAACAGAGACTGAAATGTGGTAATGAGCATGTGTTTGCTATAATTATTTTTATCATTACTACTACTACTATTATTATTACTATTACTATTGCTGTTATTATTTTCCCCTACCTTTTGAATCCTCCTGGTCCTCATTGTTTCTTCTCCCCAAAGTTACCTCAGAGGTGGGGGTTGGTCCCCCCTTAAATTATTGGTTCCTAAAACCCCCTCAGGGAAGCAGGGGCTTTTGTTTTTGTTGCTAATCCTCACCTGAGGGTATTTTTCCTCTGATTTTTGGAGAGAGTGGATGGGAGGGGAAGAGACAGGAGAAACATTGATGTGAGAGAGATACATCAATTGATTGCCTCCCTCAGGTGCCCCAGTCAGGGTGAGTCTGCAACTGAGGTATGTGCCCTTGACCAGAATCAAACATAGGACCCTTCAATCCGCAGGCCGACGCTCTATCCACTGAGGCAAACCGACTAGGAGCAGGGGCTTTTTTAGGACTGGCCCCACCTTACCTACGTTATCTGCCTAAGAAACAGAGTCAAGTCACACTAGGACTCCAACCGAGGCGGACAGGCCTAGGTCAGCCCTTCTTTGCACATTGCAGTCCTCACAGTTGCTACAAGGCTGACCCTTGCTCTCCTCTCTTCATCTCAGACAACAAACCCTCCACAGTGAGCTGAGGAAATTCCCCAGGCAAGTGATTGGCTTGGGGACACACTCTTGCCCAGTCGGCGCCCGATGCGATGGGGCATAGGGTTGGGCTTTGAGGGCAGAAACCACCAGCAAGTGAGCAGAAGAGCCAGTGAGATGGGCCTTGGCTGCCACAAGCCCACAACCCACAAGGCAGAGCCACAGCGAATCAACGTGCAGGTAGCTCCCTGCAAAGGATGCGCACCTGAGGAGTCACATGGCGCTGAAACCCAGCCAAACCCCTGCTGCCAAGCCCGGAGGCTAGGCTGCATCCACCTGAGAAAGGAATGCCCTTTCCTAACTGCTCAGGGTGGCACTTTTTCTAATGTATGTGAAGCACTGCATATGCTAGCTGCGGCTCGGCTGCCCCACCTCATTTTAAGATCCCTGCTCTGGGCCCCTCCTGTGTGAATACCTCACAACCAGGTGGCTGATCACTCATCCCATTTGGGTTTAGCTTTTCCATTGCCCAGCTTCACTTGGATTTTCTCCTTTTGGCTGGTACACCTGCTGTGGACAGTGGAGATGACCGGCCTGGGGCATGTGGAAGCGCTTGCCCTGCCCCACTGTTGCAAGTGCTGGAACTCCGCCCGGTGCCTTGTCTGCCTGGCAACTCTGGCCCTCCTCGAAGAGGGAGCACAGCAAGCTTCTCTGAGCACAAGTTGGCCCTCCTTTACCCCACTGGCCTGGTGGAGGGGTGACTTAGCTGTGAATCCTCAGGGCAACTGGGGGAAGGGGTGTTGTGGGGACCGTCCTTGACAAGATGGAGCAGAGGTGCAAGGAGGTATTCTGATCTCTGTAAGGACCGAATAGATAGAGGATAGAAAATAGATAGATATATAGATTAGATGATAGAAAGATGGATGGATGGATAGATAGATAGATAGATAAATGATAGATGGTAGAGGATAGATAGATAGATAGATAGATAGATAGATAGATAGATAGATGATAGACCACTCACAGAGAGGTTTGAAGAAAAGCAATGAGCCAGGATTATTTGCATACAAGCTTTATAAATATTTTCCAGAGGAAAAGTAAAACAGAAACAATAAAAAATAGACACAATAAAGTCCCCACCAGCTGTTTGGTTAAAAACATAAAGTAGACAGGCACAGGAGTCATCCCTCCATGGGACCTTCCCTTTAGCTCAGAACCACACTGTCTATGTTTACACTTGGTGGGTCCTTGTTGCCATTCCTACCGTTTAATCTAAGAGTGGAGAAGCAAAGGAGCATGACAATAATAGAAATTAATGACCATGAGCAATAAATACAACACTCACCAGGGCTCTGCCTGTGGTTTCCTGCCTTCTTGGCTCCAAAGAACAGGTGGGGCCGGTCCACCCTGATGACTCCAGGCCCAGCCCCATGAACCAAGGGGATCTGACCACTGTGCCTGCTGGGGGCCATCGAGTGCTCTGAGCTCACAGTGGGCTGGCTAAAGGGGTTAGAGAGTTTTTGGTGTAACCTCTACCAGGAGAATGATAACATTTCTGGCTTTTTGCCACTTGGTGGGACTTCACAGCAGAGAATGACAATAAGAAATAAAATTTGATGAGGTCTCAAGAGGCCATAGCCTATAGTACAAGATTTCTCACCCTCACCCCTATCAGCATTCTGGGCTGGGCAATTCTTTACTGAGAGGCTTTCCTGTGCATGTAGGAGGTTCAGCGGTAACCCTGGCCTCTCCCCTACCCACTGGATGCCAGTAGCAACGCTCCAGTTGTGACGATCAAAAATGTGTCCAAATATTACCAAATATCTCTGCAGTGTGTGTGTGTGTGCGTGCGCGCACAAAATCTCCCCAAGAAGTACTTCTCTGGTGGTTAAGAGCAGAGGCACTGGGGTGTGACTGCCTAAAGACAAATTCCAGTGCGTGCAACTTGCAGGAGCACAGAATGGGATAACAAACAGAGAGTCTGAGCATATAATTTATCCTCCAAACCAGGACAGTTTGAGGGTGAAGGGAGTTCTGACAATAATTTCATAACCTGAGGCTGTCTTTGCGGATGGGTATGTGTGGTTGGTCCATAAGACTCTATAGATGAGCATCGAGCCTGACCTGGTGTCGTTTGATGACCATGGAGCTATGTGCTCTCCATGCAGGAACTTCCATTAGCCCCGAGGACGTTGGTGTTGTTATTATTATATATCCTTTCTATGTATGGGAAGACTGAAGAACTAGAAGCTAAAGTTCAAGGTCACACAGTGAGATGTGCAGCCAGGATTCATATCCTGACAGGCGAGTTTGCAAACCCGTGTTCTTAACCACTGTGCCCACATGTGCTCGGTGCCCAGGGAAACAGCATACCTGGCATCCATGGGGCTCCACAGGAAGTACTAGCTCTAGGTCACTCACAGTTTCCAATTAAATCCACTTCCAAAGCTGGGTGCTCAGGGTCTATTGTGACTAAAAGCAGATACATGCAAATCACTGTGGAGCAGAAAATGTGGGTGGCAGTGCCCAATCTCATTCCCGGTTTTGTGGAGCTCAACAGGTGCACCATCCCATTAGGAAGTCACTGTGGTTATTTCAGAATGAAACAAAAATTTTATTTTTCAACTCCTATTTAATGTTTACCTTGATGCCTACTAAGTTGTTAGGATATAAATTCTTATTAGTCATTTGGACCCAGCTGCCTAAATGGAGCTGTTGGTTTTTTTGTTTGTTTGTTTGTTTGTTTTTTGGCCTAGGGGTGCCATGAAGATGATGGAAAGCAGAAAGCTTGGGAACCTCTGCACTCACCCTTTTACCATTGGGAGAAGCCTGGAGGGTAGTAATGGAGAAGTCCTTCTAGCTCAGAGACCTCACCTTCACTCTGGGGAAACCTTTCTGTCCCCATGGCACTTCAGCTTGAAATAATGCAATTGCCTCACTCTCTCTCTCTCTCTCTCTCTCTCTCTCCCACACATACAGCTTTCCTTTCCCTCACACAAAACTATTGTCCTCTGACCCCAGTCAGACAACGCCCCTTTCCATCTAAGTTCCCTTAATTTCAATCTCTCACCCCTTTTCAACTGTGTCAGCAAGCAAGTGACTTGTCCAAGGTTATTTTACAACTTGAACTTAGTCGAGATTTAAGTGGAACATCTCTCATTGACTTGCAAACTGCCTCTCAGGTCAGAGGTCACATTGTCAACTCAGACCCACATGGCACAGTAATAAGCAGACCCCCACACACACACCCCTCCCCTCAGAAAGCACTGGGACCCTTCATAAATACACAGAGACACTCACAAGACAGAACGGGCAAGTGGGAGAGGCCTGGCAGTGTGGCAAAGGGGAGAGGGGGTGATGGCCTGGGCGGTGAGGAAGTTGGACTGTTAGGGCCACAAGCACACTTGACACTCTCTAACTCCTAACTTCCTGTAACGAGATGGCATGGGCGTGGTGGGAATGTGTGGGGCAGGGCAGGGACATGGCATGGCTCTTTATTACTAACCAGGGGCCTCCTTGGACAAGTCACTTCTTTCCGTGCCATAGTTTCCTCACCTCTAAGGGGGTTTGATTTCTCATGGCTTGTCCAACTGGGGTGCCAGAGGCACATTCACAGCCTGTGTGTACACCCGAAACCACTGGGATGTCCTTCCGGGGTGTCAAGTTCATTCACGATCACTCTTTTCACTTGAAGGCATTTTATATCATTGCTCAGAATGCCAAATTTACGTACATTTTCATTTCAGTAACTGATAATTGACACTTCCCAGGCAATTACTGTGTGGTAAGTGTTGTGTTAATCTCCTTATGTGATCCTCAGCATTACCCAATCAGATGTCTTGTTATTCCCACTTTGTGGGCTAAGAAACTGGGGCACAGAGAGATGAAACACTCCCCCTAAGTCACGTTCCTAAGCAATGATAAAATAAAAAATCCTCCTCCTATCACCTCCCCCCACATCTGGATCCATTTGTAAGGTGCTTTGGAAGTCACCCCTCAAACCCGGGGGTGGGGGGGGCCTTTTTGGTGAAGCCTGACCAGTGCAGGCCAAAGTGATTTCCACAGTCCTGCTCTGACACTCCAGAATCAATGTTAGCTTCATCAGTGGATTGAAGGGTGCACTGGAGTATGGGAGAGGCCGGCGAGGCCCCCAGGGGTTCCGGGGGTTCTCAGCCCTTGGGGCGCTCCCAAACCTGGGGGTGAAGATCCCTTCATTTCAATTTCTCGCCCCTTTTCAAAGGTGTCAGCAAGCAACCTCATTATTTTACAACTTGAACTTAGTCAAGATTCAAGCGGGACATCTCCCATGGACTTGCAAACTGCCCCTCAGGTCAGAGGTCACATTGTCAGCTCAGATCCACCTGACAGGGTAATAAGCACATCCACACACACACCCGTTCCCTCAGAAAGCACTGGGACTGCCACACTGGACCCTCCCTAAAAACACAGAGACACCGACACAAATTAAGTTCTCTTCATTTCAGTCTCTCGCCCCTTTTCCACTGTGTCAGCAAGCAAGCTGGTTATTTTACAACTTGAACTTTACAACTTGAACAAGATTGTGGAATCTCTTTCTAGCCCAGTGTTTCCCAAACTTTTGACATATGTGTACCCTTCTATAATTTTCGTGACGCTGAGTACCCCTCGTGCTCATGAGAACGTAGAATCAGGCGCAGCTAAGCACGGTGCAGTGCATATCCCCACCAAACTCCGGTGCAACGCGTACCCCCACCAAACTCTTCCCGAACCCCTGGGGGTACGTGTACCACACTTTGGGAAACTCTGTTCTAGACGGACCCCCTTCCTGCGCGGCCGGGAGGGACGTCCCCAGCCCGGTGTTTGCAGCCCGGCACTTCCTCATTCCCGCGCGCCCTGGCTCAGCCGCTACGCCCAGCGCCCGAGCTCCCCCGCCGGGAGGGGGTCAACGGGGAGGTGTCGCCACCGCCTCCTTCCTTCCCTCCCTCCCTCTCTCCCTCCCTCCCTCCCTCCCTCTGCCCCAGGCCGGGCGCAGCCGCGTCCCAGAGGAGCGCGCTCGCTCGCAGACGGCTGCGGGCCGCCGGCCGCCGGGCATGTCCCCTGACTGCGCGCTGGCGGCGGCCGCGGGCACCGGGCCCCCGCGCCTCCCGGCGCCGGACAACCGGACGCGCTTCTCCTTCTTCTCCGAGGTCAAGGGCGACCACCGGCTGGTGCTGAGCGCCGTGGAGACCGTGGTGCTGGCGCTCATCTTCGCGGTGTCGCTGCTGGGCAACGCGTGCGCCCTGGTGCTGGTGGCGCGCCGCCGGCGCCGCGGCACCACCGCCTGCCTGGTGCTCAACCTCTTCTGCGCCGACCTCCTCTTCACCGGCGCCATCCCGCTCGTGCTGGCCGTGCGCTGGACCGAGGCCTGGGCGCTGGGCCCGGCCGCCTGCCACCTGCTCCTCTACGTGATGACCCTGAGCGGCAGCGTCACCATCCTCACGCTGGCGGCCGTGAGCCTGGAGCGCGTGGTGTGCATCGTGCGGCTGCAGCGCGGCGTGCGGGGCCCCGGGCCGCGGGCGCGGGCGGCGCTGCTGGCGCTCATCTGGGGCTACTCGGCGCTGGCCGCGCTGCCGCTCTGCGTCTTCTTCCACGTCCTCCCGCAGCGCCTGCCCGGCTCCGAGCAGGTGAGCGCGCCGCTGGCTGGGCGGGCGGGCGGGAGGACGGGGATCAAAGGGCCGCGGGGATGAAGGTTCACAGCAGCGATGATAGGGCAGCGATGAAAGGGGGCAGCGATGATAGGCCGTTGGCTGTGGAGTTTCTGTCTTAAATTTCACGGCAACCGTGCCATGTGGGTCCCGTAAACCCCCTCCCAAATGCTGCAGGTGGGGTCCCCAAAATGTCTGTAAGATGCACCCACTCTTCATTGCAACAGTAGTGAAATAACGGGGGCTTCACAGCCAGCCAGAGGGAACTTAGGGGACTCGGAGTGGTGAATCCCATGCGACAGTACCCGTCACACCCACTCTGCAGACGAGGAAGCGGAGCCCGGGGCCGAGGAGTAGCCGAGGAGGAGCTGGGGTCGCGCTCAGCAGGTTCAGTTCGAGCTGGCGCGGGCCCTGCTTGGAGGGCGCAGGTGCATGTGGATGCACCGGGGAGAAAGGGGATTGGAGACCTGGAGACCCCAGGACCAATCCTGCCTCGGGGAGGGCGGTTTCTGGGAGGGGATTGTGGTTTCTCCTGGAGCATCAGTGTCTCCAACTTCGAGATGGAAGGGTGAGACCAGCCCACGGGAGCTTGCCCTGGGAACCCGGGTGATGGGCGGTTTCAGAATATCCTGGGCACCCGAAATGCCCGCAGGTCCCAGGGGCTGGGCCCATGAGCCTTATTCAGAGCAGCACGACCCCCCAGTTGTCATTGGGATCGTGGGAGTGGGTCCACCATCTAAAAACAGTTCTGCGGACACTCATGATATCGGCTCTGGTCCGCTCCTTCCGCGCTCCAGCCCCCGGGTGCTGGTCTGTTTGCGGTGCCAGCCCGCTGGGCCGGCAGGGTTTGCGAGCTGCGGTTCACGCCAGGACTCCGGGCTGGAGCGCGGGCTGGGAGGACAGCGGCCGGCCGGCGGTTCTGGCCGTCAGCCCCTCTGTGTTGGTCTTCCTGCGCCTTGAGAGGAGGGGCAGGGGCAGGGGCAGGACTCATGTCTGTGCGCCTTCCCAACAGGCGGCTCAGCCTCCCCAGGCTGCTGCGTTTGGCTGGCTCCCTCCCCCCTCTTCTTCCTCCAGAGGTTGCTCCCCACGGATGCTCAGCCCTGGCCCTAGGAGGGAGGGTGGGCACCCGGAGCCAGCCTGACACAAACCACAGCCCCAAAGAGAAGCCCATGCTGTGGCCAGAGGGGTGGGAAGGGAGGGAGGCTGGGTTGGGGAGGGGAGGGTGGTGAGGAGAAGGCTTTGAGCTTCGTCCACTGCCTCCCTGGTGTCTCTTCCAGGGCCTGGGCACAGACGTGGGCTTCTCTGGGGGTCTCCCCTGACCTGTCTGTCACCTTTTACTGGGGGTGGGGGAGAAGTCTGCATCCTGTGTAAGCAGTATCTTTTTAACACACCTCAATCCTAAAAGTCTCCCTCTTAATAGTTGATGTCTTGCGTGGAATACATTGTGGGGTTTTGCTTGTTTGGATTGTTTCAGGCCTGTGGCAGTTGATCAAAGAATAGGAGCCTGTGGCGTGTCTCTTTAAGGGGGGCCAGAAAAGCTGGGGTTAGTTGAGCTGGTGGGCGCCATGGGCATGGGGAGACCAAGGGCCCTAGCTTCATGGGGAGACCATGGGCAGCTGGTCTCCTCTGCCCAGATACACCTGAGGATCCAGGTGGCCACACAGACGCTCTCAAGTAAGTGGAAGGCCAGGCCTCACCCCAGACCGGTTGGATCCGCTTGAAGACTGATTGGTCTTTGGATTTATTTATTTTTTAAGTAATTTCCTCACTGAGATAGTGCTTCTGTATTTTTAAACAGAACTTGAGGGATTTCTCTCCCCCCCCCTTTTTTTTTTTTAACAAAAACAAATGGCAAATCACGGAATGAAAGATAGAGCTTAAGGGTATCCTATGTTCCTAGATGTGTATCTGTGTCTCTCTCTTTTACTGTTGTTTTTAAGTGGGTACACGCCTAGGTACCTGTCAAATAACACTAAAAAATGAGGCTCTTGTCGCCTCCAGGCCAAAAGCCCAGACTACAACTGCTTGCCGACATGGACACAACAACTGTCTTCCATGTCTTTCCACTCTGTGTTTTACCCCTGGGGGGTGGTGGGGGGGGGGCTGTGGATCCGGTCAAAGCCCTCTGCACTCCGCTTCCAGAAGGACTAGGGTTCCCTGCAAGGCGCTCTCATGGAGGTCGGAGTGAGGTGGCCTGCCCTCCGTCCCCCGTGGGCTGGGCGCCCAGACCCCTCTGCTTTTAATCCGGAAACACCCCCTTGTCTTCAGAGCCTTAGGAAAGGGATTTGGGCAAAGCCACAGGGAGAGAATGGCTTCTTACAGCCCTGCAGGGGACTGGGGGGCAGGTGAGCTGGTGACAGGAGCCCTGTTCCCGGAAATTAGTGGAGGTGGAGAGGGAGTGTGTAATGAGAATTCTACAGTCCTTTCCAGCTCTCCCTCCTCTCTGTCTGTTCCCCTTTGTGTCATGCCTCCCTCCCTCTCCCCCCACCCATCCCCACCGTGCACCTGCCAGTGAGCCAGCAAGCAGAAAAAAAAACCCTGGTTCCTCAAAGGCTGTGACCTGAGCATGCAGGAAACATCTCATTTTATAGGTGAGCGAACAAGCCCAGTGGTTTAAGAAATAAGTTAGAGAGTGAGAAATGGAGGGACAAAAGGGAGTGAGGCCATTAAAAAGAACAATCTGGTCCAGGCTGAACTAAGTCTCCTATTAAAATCAGCAAAGGCTTGTTTACTCAGTCCCCTACCGCCCGCCTCCTGGCCAGAGGTTTGGCCTGCCACCTCCCACTTGGACATGAAATATGGAGGTTGTGGATGGAGAACATTCTCCTACCCAAACCACAGGCGCAGAGAATGAGCTACCTGACCCCGAGCACAAGCTGGCGCTCTGCCCTCAGGGAGCGCTGGCCAGGGGGCTTTCTGCTCACCTGGATCCCCCACCAAATCAAAAACACGATTCCCTTTGTCCATCTGGGCGGTGGGTGCCAGGCAGCCAGGGTAACCCAACAATTCAGGGTGACTCCCCTGCCGGGAGGATGAAATAATGGACATTTCAGAAAATGCTGTGTAATCTGATGTGACGACTGTGGGCTTTGGAGTCAAACGCTGTGAGTTTGAATCCTATCTCTGCCGTTCGTTCAGGAGCTGTGTGACAGGGGCAAGTGAGCAGTCCTGCTTCTCTATACCTCACCTTCCTCCTTTGCAAAACGGGCCTGATATCAGGTTTTCACTTTCTAGGATTGTCACGGGGACTAAGGTTCAGGAAATGGGCTGGCCAGCATCTGGCACAGACACAGTTAAGGGCTCAAAAATTACCAGCTATTATTAGTTTCCTTATCTGTGGTTAGAAATATTTTAAACATTCTTTAAACAGTGCAATTCTCCTGATTGCTGTGAAATAATAGGCTGCCATTTTAAGAGGGGAGGCACATCCTAGTAACTTAGACATGTTAGCCAGGTCAGCTCAGCCTGTACCAACGGCATTCCTGCCTGTGTGTGCCGTGGCCCCAGTGGGGTGGTGACCCTCGCCGGCAGCTGGGGAGGACGGTCCACCCTGGCCAGAATATGCGGCCCATTTATTCTACAAACATTTGCTAAGCAGCCCTCCCCCTGCCCTCACCACGGGTTACATGCCCAAGACTCTCTCAGCCTCTTCGAGGAAGTGCATTTTTTAAGCGTGCAGGTGGTCCTAGGCCCTGGTAGAATGCAGTCCCATGAGCAGGTGTTCTTGTGTTTATTTCCTGGAGGAAGAAATGCCAAAAGTCAGAAAGTAGGTAAGAGGTGGAGCTGGAATTGAGCCGGGGTCAGTCTGTTCCTCCTGCTGTCATTTTCCTGAGTTCATTCTTCCCTAGGAGTCTTGGTCCCACGGCCCACTCTGCCCGGGGTTAAGATGAGGCCCATAATGCCATCGTGTGTCTATCGAGTGTGGGTTGGCTCAGGAAACACAATTTGCCTGCCTTTGTTAACTTTAGAGGACGCTTATAAGATAAAAGACAGTACGTCTATTGCTTGCATTGATATTTTCTTTCTTTTCTGTTGGGAAGCTGATAGGAGAGGAGATGTGCAAGTAGGGTTCGAAGTTTCTTAAAATGACCTTGAAGTCTTACAGTTTCTGTTTGAAGAGGTGGGACCGGAAGGATGATTTATGAAGTGACCTCCAGGGTGTTCCAGAAGAGGACAGTAGCTTAGTTGGTTGGAGCATAGTCCTACATGCCAAGGTTGCAGGTTCAATCTCCAGTCAGGGCACAAACAAAAATCAACCGACGAATGCATAGATAAGTGGAAAAACAAATTGATGTCTCTCTCTCCCTCCCTTTCTCTCTCTCTCTCTCTCTCTCTCTCTCAATTTTAAAACACATTTAAAAAAAAAAAAAACCTATCAGAAGAATCATTAGAGACGCTGACAGGAAACAGCTGGAATCAGGTGGCATTTGCTGTAAGTCAGCCAGTGTGGGGAGAAGGCAAGTTTGAGCAGCACGTGTGGAAAGATGGCCCTATCCACAGGGGAGTCTTCTTAGACAAGAAGTGTATCTAGCAGAGTGTGAAGAGGAGAGGCAGGCAGCCAGACAAGGATGTGGGAGACTGAAGGAACATTGCAGGCGCAGGAAATAGCCCATAGTCTGTAGGAGAGATGGCCTGGTCTGGGAGGGGGTGACAAGTTAGAATGAGATTTGTGGGTGGATAGCTACGAGGTGGAATTCTGAGGTTCCCTTGAGTGGGGAGGCAGAAGGCAGAAGGCAGGGGACTAGTGCCCATGTTCCTGGCAGCGTGGGGAATGGCAGCTCCAGGCGGAGTCAGTGACTGCAGGAGGTAGAAGCTTTTGCGAGTGGGATATGGGAGGCTTGACATGCCCAGGAGGCACTCTGCAGAGATGTCCTCAGGAGAGTCTGGGGAGTCTGGGCTCGGGAGAAAACTGGCTGAAAAGACTACATTTCAGCATCACCTGCAAAAAGAAGCCATGGAAATGAGTGTGCTAGGGAGGGGTGGGGGTTGGGCTGCGGAGGGTGGAAGTCACATTTAACCACACGATGTGCCTGGCCTCCTGCCTTCATCCCTTCTGGTCCTGACGCTGAGCTCCAGCTTCCCCCTTTCCCGGAAACCCCATCCTTTCAGACACAGCTCACACACCCTCCAGGATGCAGCTCTGCCAGGTGGCTCCTCTCTCCTGGCACCTGTCGATTGCTGGGCGCTTCCAGCCCAATGCCCTGCATTGAAGTTACCCAGAGCCTCTCCCTCCCTGGCTGCAGGGCCCAGCCCACGCTCTGTGGCCTCCCCGTGGCTCAGCCACCACGGCTTGGGTCAACAGTGGCTGAGCAAACGGATTAAAGGACACTTGTTGACTCAGCCAGCCTTGCTTCTGTAGCTCAGTAACAAAGCGGGTCTAGCACTTTAGGCTTTCAAATTTCCTTTTTAAAAATCAGGAAACATCTCAAACATGCGGAGAATATTGTAACACTCCTGCCTCCACCTTCCAGATTTGATTCGCTGCCAAACTCCTGTGAGTCACAACCTAGAATCCAAACGACTTACGTCAAATAGACTTTCCCACAGAAACAAAATCATAACATCGAGTTAGAGCTGTGACTGTGGGCCTGGTGTTTGTTGATTTTCTTCTTTTAAATTTTTAAAATGAAATTAAACACTGCATTTAACCAAGGATGCCCTGGGGTGAGGTTCTTGTTTTCCCAGTTTTGCTAATTGTTAGGCACTCTGGCTTTCTGTCCTGGTGACTTCCTGTACCTGGCCCATCGTCCTTGTTTTGCTCACATCTGTCTACCACAGTTGACCTTAGCTCTTAACGGAAAATACACGATTCACAAGGGCTGCATCATTAGTGTTAAATTATTTGAGGAGGATGTTTCGAAGCCTTAGTTTCCTCCTCTGTGTGATGCGAAAAATGGTAATAATACATCTCCCTAAGGTTGTTGTGATCATAATACATCTGCAAAAATAGTAATAATACATCTCCATAAGGTTGTTGTGAACATCCAATGAGATAATGTATGTAAAGTGTTACCTGGTATGGACTAAGTGCTTTGTTGATACTGAATAGGAGAAGAAGGGACTACTTGACTGTATTATGATTTTGACCACCTAATTATGATACATATTGAGGAATGATAAAAAACCTTTGCCTAGTATAGCATTTAGTAAATATTGAATGAATGAATGAGGGAATGAATGGTGCTATAGATGATAATATTTCTTCTGGACATTGGTTAAGATGCCTTGTTCACCAGAAATCAATGATATGGTCTCTTTACACAAATACACTCTCCGAAACCTGTTAAATGCTTGGAAGAGCAATTTGTTTCCTGAACAGTTTTGTTCCTATCGTGAAGTGGGCACAGGACATTTGGGTTTGGGAGGAGAGGTGGGTAGATGATAGATAGAAAGATAGATAGATAGATAGATAGATAGATAGATAGATAGAGCTCTTCTATCAGATATCTAGCAGTATCTTCATTGGCCTACTTATTCATCAGAGGACATTGTTGCAGCATCTCTTAACTATTCAGTAATGTCCCCGCTGTTTAGGGCCAAATATTTGAATTCAACACAACACAGTGGCAGCAGCAAGGTCACACCTGCAGGTACTTTGGCCACAGTCCAGTGGTTTCACCACTTGAGCTGATGGAGGTTTGTGCTTGCGTCTTGGTCTGGGGCTGCCGTGTGCTCCTCTGGGGAGAGGCCCCCAGGGACAGAACTTCTGAGTCAGGGCACCAGCATTGCCTTGGCGTCAGCCATGCCCTTCTCTGATGCAGCATGACACTTGCAGACATTTGAACGGCCTCCAAAGGAACACTGTGCCTTCATGTGGACCCTGTTGCCTTGAGCACTGGGCTTGGAGTCATGCCTGGGAACTAACTCTGGCTCTTATCAGCCTGTGACCCTGAGTTATTGTGAGGTCAGAGGCAGATGATTTGTAAGTGGGGCTGTGTGGCCCTTGGAAGGGATTCTGGGATTTCTTGTCCGTTGTGTGGTAGTGTACCAATAAGTAACACATTAGTGTTAGGGTGCCCGGTAAACCCCCAGTTGGAATGGGCTTAAGGCCAAATAAGAAGCCAGCATTTAAATGACCTCCTCTTCCTTCTTGTGTCTAGGAAATTCTGATTTGCACACTGGTTTGGCCCAGCCTCGCCGGAGAAATCTCCTGGGATGTGTCCTTCGTCACTCTGAACTTCCTGGTGCCGGGACTGCTCATTGTGATCAGCTACTCCAAAATCTTACAGGTACGTGTGCTTCCGGACCGCAGCTGACCTTCACCAGGTGGAGTCTTAGCATTTCTGGGTTAGAAGTTACCCAATTCTGGCTCACTGCCGAGATCTACTCCTCCTGCAAGAAGAAAAGTTACACCTTTATGGTTGTTATTATTTGTCACCAATCACTGAATGCAAGTGTATTACAAAAAATTAAAAAAATATGGAGATTGTGTACCATACAAGATAGAAATCTATGCTACCCCCATTGTCAATTCATTGTATATTTTCCAAGTTATTTACATATATACATAGTTTTATTCTATGTGCATGATAAATCATATAAAATGATCAAATGTCAACTATTTTGCAGTTTTGAGATGCTATCGATACTATCTGGTTCTTAACTTTCTTCTTTTTCTGAACCCTCTAACATAACATCTTCCCATATCAGATCCTTTATCTCTGCCTCATTATTTTTAACGGCTTGATGACCTTCTGTCATACAGCTGTGACATAATTTATTTTATGGGCTTTAGGATTGCATCCTTGTTTCCCTACCACACACAGCAGTGTAGTGAGAGAATACACACTTTTACAATGTTTTATTGACGCATAATGTACAGACAGAAAAGCACACTCAGCACGCACACCCAGCTCACAAACTGACCCCACTCCCAGAGCAGCTTCCAGAAACAGCACCTTACCCAGCTCCCACCACCACCTTCCACCCGCCACCCCCAGCCCCCAGCACCAGAAATGTGCCTTTCCAAAGCGGCTGACACAGGCCATGGCGTTGCCTTCGGAGCAAGCATGTATCGATGTAAAAAGCCCTGCCAGCCTGATTCCTACCTCTGGAGGCAGCATGCTTACATGTATGTGCTGGCCAGGAAAACCGTGTGGATGTGCATTCGTGCTTGTTTGAGAAGGTTGAATGCAAAGCCTTTGAGTCCTCTCAGAGGTTTACAGTTGTCAGATCTTGGTTTTATAGTGTATTACGGGTCACCTGGCAAACAGGGATGTTGAAGTGGGGGTTTGTAGGTCCTGCTTGCTGTCTGACCACTTTTATGGCTCTTCCTTTGTGCTGAGATCTGTCACTGTTTTAGATGCTCAACACCAGCCCCACTTCCATCCGAGTCTGCTAATCCTGGGTCTCGTGGTATTCCCTAGACTCTCCCCCACCTGTGGACTTCTGACCCTCCTTCAATGGTATGAGGACAGTTTAGGCCTAGAGTTAAGGTCTGTAAAGTGCCTGCAATAGCGCCTAGCATGTGTAAGTGCCATGTACGAGTTAAGTGTTAGCTGTTATTGTTATGTTAAAAGAAGTGGGGGGATAAGGAAGATAAATAGAAATAATTTAAAATTATTTTTTAAAAACGATTTAACGAATATTTATGTAGTGTTTATAGTGAGTTAGGAACTAACTCATTTAACACTGCTAAGAATGACAGATGCGGAAACCAAAGTTCAGAGAGGTTAAGTAACTAGCCCAAGGCCACACAGCTCATAAGCAGCGGTATCAAAATGGAAGGTAGTCTGGCTGCAGAGTTCCTTAGAAGCCAAGAGGGCCTGGTCTTCTCCTTTCACTCGTGTCTCATACTTCTCAGCTGCCTGAGAGGGAGGACTGACTTATTCTAAGGAAAGGGCCTTCTCCTCTTGGGCAGTGGGAAAATCTCTGCTTGAAGAGTCTAAGACCCGGGTTCTAGTCCGAGCTTCATTTCTGTGTGACCTTAGGCGAGTCACTCAGTCTTCTCTGGGGCTAACTGGGCCTCCGAGGATTGTTTAACGCAACGAAATGAGGGCAGATATGATAATGTTTTGAAAACCACAATGTTAATGCACATGTAAGACATTTTAAAAATTATCCATACTTCTCACTTACTAGCAAACCTGCTGTCCATTTCCTGGGTGGACCATCCCATGTGTCCTCACTGGGCACCTGTGGGTTTGCCGGGCTGGTAACTTGGAAGCAGGGGAGTCGCCACCAGGTGGATGGAGGGTCTGGGCAGGATACCTCCGAAGATATTCATACTCGGAGACACGGAATCAGCTTTTCTGCCGAGTTTTCCAGTCAAGAGTATAACTGTAAAATCATTGAATGCCAGTGTTAATTAGCCATATTTACAGAGACACAATTAGCAAACCATGTGGATCCTCGGGACACAAAGCTACACCACGTACCCCTTTCTCACCAGCCCTACCTTCCACCTGCCACTACTGACTTTTTAACTCGGGTTCCTTCTCTAGGCCTGAGAAGTGGCCTTCCAGATCGCCCTGATCTCATATTCCTCTATGGCAGAGTTCCCTGTAAGGCACTTTCTAGAACTCCATGGGATGTTAGACATTAGCAAGGGTTCCGTGATCAGATGAGTTTGGGAAAGGCTAGGCTAATCCAGGTTACATGGATTTCTTTGCTGCAGGACTCCTCAGAGTCTGTGCTATGGAAATGTACGCTGGGGATCTCCAGCCCAGGGTGAGAGGAGGCAGCATGGCTACATCTGACAGCAGGACTCTGTTCCCCACAGAGCGCCTCTCTGGGCTGGCGCTCCAATAGTCTCCTCCGGGAAGCTGCTCTAACGTCCCCACCCTCGTTGCTGGTTCTGCCCTGGTCAGGATGGAGCACAGATAGACGTCTTCCCATCTTATCTGCCCTCCTGCCTGCCTTGCTTCCTTTTCACCCATGACTCAGCCAGGCTATACATCTTCCATGGCTTTTTCCAATCAACAGTTTCCCAGGGCAATAGCCTCCCAGCCACTCCCAAGTACCTTCGATCGGGCTGCCAATGTTAGCTGTTGGGGCTTGGTTTATGTTGTCACCCAGCAACCATTGCCATGGCAAGGTGAGATGCTTCTGCCCTTTGTTTGTATGTTTCTCGTTCCCCTTCTACACACTGACGTGGAAGTGCAGGTAGGCAGGTGCCCTTGCTTTTTGGTATACACCCAGCACCTATAAGAGTGCTTGGCACATAGAAGGGGCTCAATGCATGTGTATTGCATGGGACTGCGTCTGTGGCTTAAAGCTGGAAACCGCTTTTCTATCTCAGAGCTTACCTGAGAAGCAAGGTGTTTCAGCTGAACGTGAAGGTGCTGGGCAATGAACACGCAGGCCTTTCCCCACACCTGCCCCTCATTCCCCAGCGCTGAAGCCTGTTTGCTGATGGAAAGAGAGGAGGGCCCTCTGGAAGCATGGAGGCCATTCATTGTCTGATGATTCTAATTAGGAAGTTGCTGGTTGACCAAGCAGCCCCCAGAGACCCAGCGCTCAGGGACCTGAGCCTGGTCCGTGGGGAGCAATTGCTCCGTGTGCCCACCTGTCAGCAGCCATGGTCTGGTGGCATGGAGAGGTGAAGGGTCTGAGGCAGAGAGAAGGTTCCCTCACGGCCTTCAGATGAAGGCGGCGAGTCTCAAACCATTTAACAAGTGACTCCTCACGCCGTGCCCCTGTGGCTCCGTCGTTGATGCTGACTTATGAACCGGAGGTCATGGTTCGTGTTCTGATCAGGGCACATGCCCAGGTTGTGGGCTTGATCCCCAAGGGGACCCGTGCAGGAGGCAGCCAATCAGTGATTCTCTCTCAGCATTGATGTCTTTCTCTCTCTCCCCCCCTTCCTCTCTGAAATATATTTCACATAATATATATAATTGTTTAGAGTGACTCCTCAAAGGTCTGGGAGAAAGTTCAAGTCTGTTGTCCCAGACCAATAATAGTTCTCATGCTTTAGTGGGTGAGACTCATCTGGGGCGTCTATGAAAGTGTGGATTTCTAGGCTTTCCTCAGGCCCACAGAAGCAGAGTGTCTGAAAGTGGGCCCATCAGGTGCGTTTTACCAAGTGCCAGGTGGCTGTGCAGGTGGCCGTGGACCACATTCCCGGAGCGCTGTCCTCTCTCCCTGCAGCAGAACTCAGCACACACACACCCCTCCCGCCCAGGTACACACTCCCACTCCATCTCCAGGCTTTGTGCGAGTCACTTTCACGGCTCAGAGCCTCATCTCTCACTCCTAAATGGGCACTGACAGAACTTCCCCCACTGGCTTGTTTTAAGGATTAAAGTTAATCCTCAGACGTTAACGGAGCATTTCTTTTAAAAGCACCTCAAACATCCTGCCCAACGCCAGGGACATTGAAAGCCCTGGAGAGCAGGTGACTAGTCTTGTCATCTAAAGTAGGGAAGAGGGAGCCACATCTCATTGTAATGGGCCTATTCTCCTTCTCACTCCCCAGAAATTGCAGAAACTGGGCACAGAAGGAAATAGTAGCAGCCGTCAGAGCTAAAAAAAAAAGACGCAACCTCGCAGCTGCTTGGCCCATGAGTCAGTCCAATGTGTCTGTCTGTTTGCTCACAGTCATTGTCAGCACAGGAGCCACAGGGCAGCCCAGCACTCAGGGCACGGGGTTCAGAGGCAAGAATGACGCTCTAACCTCTACCACACAGTGTCCGTGGCAGGTGCCCTGTGACTTCCTGCAACAAAGCCCTGCTGGGGCCACGCAGGAGATGAACCAGGAAGCTGGTTCACCTTCTCAGAGCTCCTGACGTTAGAGCTTAGAGTTACAGGCTGGGCAGAGGCTTTCCACTGACAGAGATAGGAGAGAGTGGGAAGAAACTAATTTAAGATTAAGAGCATGGGCTGGAGCCAGACTGCCAATATTTGAAGCCCGGCTTTGCAAGCACTGGGTGCTGTTGGGCAAGTTGTTTAACCTCTTTTAGCCTTGGTTTCCTCATCTGTAAAATGGGGATCCTCAAAGTACATTATATGTCACAGATCTGCTGGGAGAATTTAAAGAGATAAACCAAGTGATATGTACAGGGCCTGGCACATAAGTGCTCAGTAAATAGGAGCATGCATCACCACCATTCATTAAAAAAAAAAAAGTATAAGACACAGTACCAGGGACTTCCTCCTTCTGGACAGGCCATGTGGGCAGCACAAGCGATGAGGCTGCTTTTGAATCATTCCTGTGTGTCTACCAGGCTGCACTCAGGACCAGAGTGACACCCCTACGCAGCGGTGGTGGCATTTCCCTGCAGCCCTCCCACCTGCCAGCCTGCCCAGCAGTCACTCTCCTAGGTCCGTTGGCCACGGTAGTGTCAGCTGAAGCAGCTTTCACCTGGACACACATTCTAACCTGATTCTACACAGCAGCTTCCAGGCCTGGGTGTGCCAATGTGACCTCCGGCATGCAAGCCTGAGATGGCAGGTTACGTCTCCTGAGCAGACCCCCCCCCCCCCGCCCCTGCAGAACAGGGCTGGAGAGGATGGCAGCCCCCATGGAGCCTTTTATGATATGGCTTACAAACAATAGAAATTGATTTCTTACCACTCCCGAGGCTGGGAGTGGGAAATCAGGGCGCCAGCATGGATCCTGGTGAGAGCCCCCCTGCAGGCTGCAGACTGCCTACCCCACACTGTGTCTTCCCACGGCAGCCATATCCAGGGAGTGCGCTTGGGCCTCTCTTCTGATTGTTTTAATTCAAAATACGTTAAATTGCAGTTGATATTGAATATTAATTAGTTTTTCAGGTGTGCAGCAGAGTGGTTAGATATTCCTGTGACTTACCTAATGATCCCCCACCTGGGACGTCCATGGTTATTACATATCACTGTATTGGCTACATCCCACGACTGTTCTGTAACTGCTGATGAATGAAGAGTAATCTCTTTATCATCTTTTTCTTTTTCTTTTCTTAGTAGAATACTTCTAAGGAGTGCTCTCAGTTTATCAGGAAGAGGAGAATCGATTCTTTATTTTTTAATTTATTTTTATTGATTTCAGAGAAGAAGGGGAGAGAGAGTGAGAGAGAGACATCAATGATCAGCTGCCTCCTGCACGCCCCCCTGTTAGGGATCAAGCCCACCTCCCGGGCATGTGCCCTTGACCAGAATCCCTTTGCAGGCCAGAGCTCTGTCTACTGAGCCAAACCAGCTAGGGCCCTTCATCTGTTTCTTAAGGGCACTAATCCCACTCAGCAGAGCTTCTTCCCTGTAACCTAATCACCTGGCCCCACCTCCTAACAGCATCGCCTTGGAGGTTAGGTTTTCACAAATAAATCTGGGGGGAGGACACGTTCAGCCCAAAGCAGTGTGCTTCTGACCTCACATCCCTCTTCTGTCCTCACATCCCTCTTCTACAGCACCCAGTGCAGGCCTTTTACTTCCCTCCGTCCACTCTATCTGCGAGTGGATGACTTCCTGCCTTATTTCTCAGGGGGCCACCCAGGTGCCCCATTTCTTCAGCGCACCTAAGGGTGGACAAACCTCTCCTAAGGGTGGACAAACTCCCCTAAGCGGGGACAGACCTCCCCCAAGGGTGGACAAACCCCTCATAAGGGTGGACAAACCTCCCCTAAGGGGGGACAGATATCACTAAGGGTGGACAAACCTCCCTAAGGGTGGACAAACCCCCCTAAGGGCGCTCTCTCTGCACAACACAGTCCCCGTGCAGCGGGGGCAGCAGGTTCCATCTCCGCATCCCTGTGCTCCCCATGAACCAGCCCTCCCGGCTATCGCCCTGTGGTGACTGTGGCTCTGTGGCTTGTGTCCCCGCAGATCACCAAGGCGTCGCGCCAGAGGCTGACGGTGAACCTGGCCTATTCGGAGAGCCACCAGATCCGCGTGTCGCAGCAGGACTTCCGGCTCTTCCGCACCCTCTTCCTGCTCATGATCTCCTTCTTCATCATGTGGAGCCCCATCATCATCACCATCCTGCTCATCCTGGTCCAGAACTTCAAGCAGGACCTGGTCATCTGGCCATCCCTCTTCTTCTGGGTGGTGGCCTTCACGTTCGCCAATGCGGCCCTGAACCCCATCCTCTACAACATGTCCCTCTTCAGGAACGAGTGGAGGAAAGTCTTTCGGGGCATCTTCTTCCCAGATAAGGGAGCCATGTTTACAGACACGTCTCTCCGGAGAAATGACCTGTCTATTATTTCCACGTAGTCAATCTCTCTCCAGAGGCAGAGTGGGTCACTCTGGTGAGCCACTGGTGTGTCTTCAGAGGGACTGAACCTCCAGGACCCTCACCCCAGGGTGCCCTGCCTTAGGAACTGTGACCTATGCAAATGCATTCACGGCACCAGTAAATTAAGGGGCGATCCTTCAGCGAAAGAATTGTGTCCTTTATGAAAGGATTTGCTATGGGTTTCTTGAAATACGGACTTTTTCAGTGTGGGTGTCCTGTGATTGAATGTAATAAACTTTTATTTATTCCTGTTCAACAATCACATATCCTGCATAGAAAGCCACACCTTGCTGGTTTATGGAGTGAATCTTGCAGCTGGTCCAGGACTCAGAGTTCTCTGAAGGGCCACCGCCACCCTGGGCCCCTCCCCTGGACTCGAAAGGCCTTGGGATCCTTCATTAATGTCGATAATGCTTGAGGAATTTCCCAGGAACAACCAAAGGTGACTTTTTTATTTATAAGAAATGCCATGGACCCCTTTAGGAGATTCATTGTCATGAAATCAGAAGATATAGGAAAACTCCAATATTTGGGGGCCAGGTAGCGGGGGGAGGGGGGAGAAATGGTCATCTACACTAATAAAAGAGTAACATGCTAATTGATCATACCTTTGTGACCAGCACCAGCCCAGCAGGAGTGAGTATGCAAATTAACCCAACAAAGATGGCGGGTTAATTTGCATACACAGGCTCCGAACAGCTGGGGGCAGGGTGGAACGCAGGCGTTCCACTCCACCTCAGCTGCTCTGGGTCTCTGGGCAGCGTGGGAAGGCAGAAAGGTAGTTCTGACCAGAGAAAAGGTGCTGCTGGCAGCCAGGGGGAGGAAGGTCCATTCTTGTAGGAATCTTTGTGCATCGGGCCTCTAGTAGGACATATTTTGGGAACATGGAGCAAGCACAATGTACAATGTGAGGGAAAGAGAAGGTGCAAGGGTGACGTCTAGATTTGTAGCTTGACACTGGTTGGATTGGGGGCCAACAAACAACAATGGGGGGAAACTTGGGGTGGGAGAGCCCAGAATTTTATCTATGGCTGTGTACGTTTGAAATCCAGTGAGATCCAAACGGAGACTAGGTACAGTCGCTGGATGCAGGGTTGTGGAGTGTGGGCCTGAAGCTGCAATGTGGCCAGTCATCAGATAGTGTTTCCAGGCCTAAGGTTTTAGGAATTATCCCTGGGAGAGAAGAGAGAAGAAACCAGAGCTAAACAGAACCACGGAGATGCCATCACATGGAGGCGGGGCCCATGCCTGGAATGTGCAGTAGCTCAGGGCCTGGCACATGGTAGGTGCTCAACATGGCTTAGTTGTCAAGTACATCAGCAGCAGCGGTTCCATTGCTTGTGGAGTTTCTTGAAAAGCTTCTTCTGAAGTGACTCATGGTGCTCCAGGACAAGAGGACTGGGATTTTCTGTTCACCTTATCTAATAGACGTGATGAATTAAAACTACTTTGAAGTGATGTGTGGCTGTCTTGTCTGGTCTCTGGTTTGTCACACTGAGGCTGCAGGGCCTGGCTCTGACAATCTGCTGCTGTGTGTGACGATAGGGAGGGCTCACCTGTCTCCTCCTTCCCTGGTGGGAGGACAAGCACACTGGGGTGGGGGGCCCAGGAGCCTTCCATGGGCCCTTGATATGCCAGCACCCAGGCAGCGCTCTGTGCACCCAGGGAAAGAGGTGACCCTCCGCACCTGACACATTTCATAGCTGTCAGCCGGGCATGGCCCGTGTTTGCACAGCTCCCACGTGCTCTAATTGAATCCTCACTGCATCCCTTCGGGGCAGACGCTGTTTCCCCACATCTCACAAGAGAAAAGTGAGGCTCAGAAAAGCCATGTAACCAGCTCAAACCACACAGCTACTGCATGCCAGCACTGGATTTTGACTTAGAGACTCGGGTGCCAAAGCCTCCTGGGGGCTCCTGGGAAACGGGGGCAAATGGCTTTGCAGCAAATGCACAGTGATGTTCACAAGGACCGCTGATGGTGAGGGGACCTGGTGTTCACCGCCACCCACCACGCCCTTTCCTGCTGCTCCAGGTCCAGGTAGCGAGCACTGGGAGCTTCCCCCAGACCAGGCTTCCACGGGCCCCAGGTTCCAATTCCCTCAGGGAAGCCCAAGGCCTCCCCTCCTCAACATGTCAGCCACCTCTGAACTAAGGAGTGAGGTAAGTGCTGGAAACAGTGGAGGGCTGGGGATGTTTCCCGGAGCTGACCCAGACTCGTGCCTCTCACACACACCCAGGGGAGCGGGCCACGCTGCCCCTTCCCAGGCCCTGGGCTGCCAGGGGCCTTGGGCTCCCTGGCCTGGCCTGGCCCACACTCACTCACCTGCTGCTTTAGCCTCGGTGCCTTGGCCAGGCTGGCAGCCAGGGCCTTCCCGGCTTCATGGAGAACACCCGTTGCAGGAAGTTGGGAGAAGCCACTGTCCCTAGTAGAGATTAGGCACCAGAATAGGCCAAGATCATAAAGAACCAGGGAGGCGAGAACACCTCCCAGGGTATAGAAGCGCATCCTATCCAACCATCTGCAGAACTTCTCACTTTGACAACACATGGACACAAATGAACACCCACATCATAGGAAACGGGAGACGTATGTTTTAATAATTCAGTCTAGAATCCTAAGCCTCAAATGACTCCCTAGGAAATTCCCTCCCCCCCCCAAAAAAAAACATACACCTGATTGCAAATGGATTCACTCATTCCCACATGTATTTTTATGTGTCCTGAAGGTTTTATGTTTCCTGAGGAAGCGGGGAGGAGAGAGGGCCAGACTAAACTACGATAAATAGAGTTGAAGGCTGAGTGAAAGTGGGAAGTTTTCAAACGAAACTTGACGTCCTTGATGTTGCTACAAAAGGTTTCTTTCTGCTTTGCCATCACAGTAACCTGAAATATAGAAAAACAAAGCCATCAGTGACAGAAAGATGGATCCAGTGTATAAGGCAGATTATGAATTATGGACCCATTGTTGTGAGGTTACAGCAAGATGGGGCTGTAATTCATAATCATCTTCAAGGTTTTTTCTGCAACTCTTTGAATTTCTCTGGAAGCAATGAGATCTTCTTTATGAAATACTGTTCTTTTTAAATATATTTTTATTGATTTTTTTACAGAGAGGAGGAGAAAGGGAGAGAGAGCTAGAAACGTCGATGAGAGAGAAACACCGACCAGCTGCCTCTTGCACACCCCCTACTGGGGATGTGCCCACAAACAATGTACATGCCCTTGACCAGAATCGAACCCGGGACCCTTCAGTCCACAGACCGACGCTCTACCACTGAGCCAAACCGGTTTTGGCATTTTAAAAATATATATATTTATTAATTTCAGAGAGGAAGAGAGTGGGAGAGAGAGGGAGAGAAACATCAATGATGAGAATCATTGATTAGCTGCCTCTGGCACGCCCCCTACTGGAGATCAAGCCCATAGCCCAGGCATGTGTCCTTGACCGGAATCAAACCTGGGACCCTTAGTTCTATCCACTGAGCCAAACTGACTAGGGCTAAAATACTATTCTTTTTATTTGTCTTAAATCTGCCTCACTGCATTTCAAAGGGGTGGGGGGTGCACTCTCCTTTTCAGAAAGTGTGCCTGGTCGCAGCCACCCCACTAATAACTTCATAGAAAGTGCCCCAGGTCCTGTGCCGTGTATCGCCAGGTGGTGCCCAAACAAAACAAAACAAAAACACAACCTTTGGTTTGCATCCAACTCAGCTGTGTACTATACAGATCTTGAGCAACTTTTGTAATCTTTCTTAGCCTCTCATTTTCTCATCGGCTACATGAGATGAGGCAAAGGGTTTGGCCTGGAGTCTGCCCATGGTGAAATCCTTGCCGAGATCACCCCAGGGTGAGACATCAGAATCTTACTGACTTATGTTTTTGGTCTGGGTTCATATTGTTTTGGTGAGTTTTGCTCAGCGAGTTAGAAGACTGACTGAGAAGTTCAGTTTTGTTCTCTGTTTCCTACGTTTTAACATTGCTGTAGCTGGATTCTGAAACCCAGTTTCCCGAGGGAGTGAGTGTCCATTCAAATAGACAGCACTCTTTCCTCTAGAACTGTGGTCCGCAAACAGTGGCTTGCGAGCCACATGTTGCTCTTTGACCCCTTTAGTGTGGCTCTTCCACAAAATACCACCCTGCCTCCGGCAAGTCTATTTTGGGAAGAAGTGGCGTTAGAAGAAGTTTCAGTTTAAAAACGTTGGCTCTCGCTCGAAACCAATTTGGCTCAGTGGTAGAGCGTCAGTCTGCGGACTGAAAGGTCCCAGGTTCGATTCTGATCAGGAGCATATATGTTGGTTGCGGGCACATCCCCAGTAGGGGGCGTGCAAGAGGCAGCTGGTAGATGTTTCTCTCTCATCGACGTTTCTAACTCTCTATTCCTCTCTGTAAAAAAATCAATAAAATATATTTTAAAAAATAAATAAATAAAAATAAAATAAAAACGTTGGCTCTCAAAAGAAATTGCAATAGTTGTACTGTTGATATTTGGCTCTGTTGACTAATGAGTTTGCCAACCAGAATGTTCCTGGTTTTCAGGTCAATATCAGATGAGGATAGAATCTATATAAAGACCCACTTGTTATTCCAGGGAACATCCGAAAATACAAGAGAGGAAGATCAGCTAGTCAACTTGGTTTCATGTTAAAGAAAGAGCATTTGCTGAAATCACGTTGAACTTGCTGTGGTGATGTCTCTAAGCTTTTACACCAAAGAGTTGCAGCCCAACTCTTCACGGGGGCCACTGAGTCCCCAAATACTATTAATTCAGTCAAAATGGGTTCTGGGGCAGAGTATCCAGGGGCAAAACCATGTGACTACCGACTGGGCTAAACTGGCAGAGAAAAAGGAAGAGAGTCCCCTGCAGTTTTACTTTAGTGAAAGCGCCAGGTTTTTGAGAAAAGGCATTTGTGGGCTCCTTCTGCATCAGCCCCATGATGAGGCCACTGAAACACCTGATCAAGAAGAACCAAGATTGCCCTGGTCGGCTTGGCTCAGACGATAGAGCATCAGCCTGCGGACTGAAGGGTCCTGGGTTCGATTCTAGTCAAGGGCACATGCCCCAGGTTGTGGGCTCGTTCCCCAGTAGGGGGCGTGCAGGAGACATCAAATCAGTGGTCCTCTCTCATCATTGATGTTTCTGTCTCTCTCTCCCTCTCCCTTCCTCTCTGAAAGCAATAAAAAAATATATATATTTTTTAAAAAGAAGAAGAAGAACCAAGACTTGGTCTCCCTCTTCCCTTGTGAAGTCTTAGG